CTGCAACAATTTAGTCTTCCCTAACTTTGTTTTGAAACAAAGCTCCCTTGTTTCCTTTGGAGAAACAGCATTGCAAGGGCAATCTGGCTCAACATTAGGCAAGATAAAGGTGGACAGAAAGATCTGCATCCCTCCAAAAGCGTGACTTGACAGTACAGACAAGATGAAAAAGAATCTAAATCAATTTACAGCAGCAGTCAAACATAAAATGGCAATAAATGAGAAAACAGAAGAAAAAGGGAGCCTCACTGAGCCTTAGAGAGGAAGAAAGAAAATCCATGTAATGAACATCACTGGAAAAAGGGATCCTTCCTGTCTTATGTCGTCCCCTATTTATCACATCACTAAGGATAATATTCTGTCAAATGACAAACTGTGCAGTACAGCTAGAAGTATCAAAAGAAGGTAAAATATATGTTGGAATTACAGTAATCACTTATAGAGTTTCATGGAAATTCCAAGTTCGCTTTGCTGAGAGGTTGACAGGATGACTAATGGCATCGTGCTATTATGCAAAGGATATGGTATGAAATCACGTGCACATCTGAGCATTTACACTATGACAAGGATGATCTTACCTATTATTTTAGGCATTTAAGCCATCATTTGTCCAAATCATTGTGCACAAAGAACAACTGTAATTACATTGTTATTTAATGCATTATGTTGCAGTTTTCTGAATATTTTTAGTTATTTGTATTTACAAGACGACTCAAATACTTTGATGATTATTTATCACTACACAAAACTTTTCTGAGAAACAGCTTATTTTTGTGTAACCTGCAAAGAGTATTTATCTCCACCTCAATTAAGTGTTACTAAATTTAATTTTATTAAATATGATTTCTTTTGTCAAAATCAGAGTGATGCTTTAACTTGAAAGTTTCAGTTGGAGGCTATTAAAGAGCACTCTGTACCCATAAGGTTTTAGTAGGACCCCCGTGATCACCATCAGGTACTGGGCTACTCTTCATCATTGCCTATAAACCAAATATACCAATTCTCTCCTCTACTTGTCCAGAAAATGCACAGTGTGTATCTGTGGCCCAAGCAAAGTCAGAACCAATACAGGCAGCTTTATTATCAAATGGCTCCAAAGACTTAAGGGAAGTACTATTGTGAGAGTATGTTTTTTATTCAAAAAATATTTTAACATGCAGGAGTGATGAAGTACAGAAAGAGAAGACAATGAAATTACAATGAAAATCGCACCACGTGGCAGTGATTCAGCAAAATAATTATTTGCCACTAAGAGACAGAAGATGCTGAATTTAAAGCATTATTGGTTAAGCTGTCATTCGCTCCACGTTGTTTTTTCCATCCACACATTCAGAGGTATAAAGAAATCACTTATTCAGTACACTAGTATTATTATACTTACGTATTTGACATATTCTTTCCACTGGTGCCACCATGGCATTGCAATAAGAAACCAGTTGTGCCCTGGCTGAAGGCCGTACCTGCTTTCTCTTTCTAACCAGCCCCTGCACATAAAGAATGACCAACATGATGTATTAGCTGAAACAGGGTAATTACAGTCCTTTGAAAAGTACTAAAAGGTGATTCTGAAATCCATTTAAGATTCTGAGCAAAATATGTACCTAATAATCTGCCCTTCCTCCTCTGGAGTGGCAGGTCGTAGCCCCAAAACTATATGACACACCTGGAAAAAGAAAGTAACTGTTATTAAGAACTAAACCAGCATGAAACAAGCATTGGGCAAATGAAAGAAAAGAACAGCTTTAATGAGACTTTTCTGAAAATTCTTTTGAATCAAATCACTAAAAAAGAAATATTGTGAGCTATGGAGAGTCACAACCTGTTCCCACTGTTAAGAATGTCAAATGCCCCAAGACGAATTAAGGTGAACAGAAAATGAATTTTCATGATTTTCAGGGCTGAAGCACATGCTACAAAAGATCACAGGAACTGACATGGATCAGATAGACAAAAATTTAAGGTGCCTTTATGCACTGGAGAAAAGGAATGAGGAACTGGAGGAATGCAAGTGGCTGGAAGAAGATAAGCTAAAGGTTAAAAAAAGGCAAAATGGAAAGTGGGATTTTATTCCAAGTACAAGACAGCAGCCCCACATGGGTAATATCTTACTCCTCTCTTCCTAGTACAACCATCCCAGCCTTGCTGCAGTGAGTACATCTCTGCTGGGCTCTCCCAGCAGTTCCCTGCCACAGGGCATGCGGCTGTGAGCGCTGAGCAGAGAGGAGCAGACTCTGCAGGAGCCTTTGTTTCCCATCGCAGGGAGGAGGGTCAGCTGTCTCCTCTGCGAGACACTTCTCAAATTGGTTGCTACTCATAACATGATTTATAGTCTTTTCCTTATGTCTCTTTGGAGGGTATCAATTTGCGTCTCAGCTGGAGATTTCTAATGACTGGTGAGATATCTTATTTAAATTTATACTACAGTGTGAGAGACCATTTCACATTCTGAATACAACAAAGGCCATTCGCTGCTGGGAAGCAACAGACTTTCCAGCACACACAACACAGCTGGTTCCAGTGTTTCGTTTTAAACTCATGGAACACTGTGCCAGTATCAGATTCTTCCTATAAACTAACCCTGCTGCAAACAAACCAATTTGTTGACAAGCTTTCCACGGGGCTCCACTCACACTACTCAGCTTTTCTGTCTGCAGATGAGATATACAAGCTCATGACAGCTCAAATAAATGCCCAGGCAAATCAACAGCAGACTCTGTCCCCTGTGTAAGTGTGCTGTGGAGCCTGCAGCATGAGATGGGGGTGCCTCATATGATGAAGTTTATCAAAAGATGCTACTCTTATTGTATTTCTTTTAATGACAATTATCATTAAGTGTTCATTATTTCTGTTTCAATACTGCTCAGGTATTTGTTAGTTCATGAATATTAGGATACTTAATGCTAGATAGTCCAAAAATAAAGACAGCTCTTGTTGAGAAGGTTGGAATGGAAGCAAAACCTGATGCCATTAGAGACAGAAAGAATCTGCAGAACTTTCTGATGTTACTCGTTTCAGCTGTGGTGTAGCTGACAGCCTCAGAATACTCTTATTCAGTCGCCCCGAAGTTCTTGGAAAGGTATAGTTCAAAATACAGTATATAAAGCAGCATGGGGCCACAACCAGGAGAATCAGTAGTGTGCAACCATACTTATCTGAAAAGCCACACAGCTGCTCTCTGATGAAATATTTTTCCACTACAATCTGACCCTGTAACCATTTAAGCTTCACTGGTAAGATGAGAACAGAGCCCACTGGTTCCACTCAGTCTTCCCAGGAAGAGCTGAGACTGTCATATGGGCTGCAGGTGAACGCTAAACTGGGGCAAATCTTCAAGGCTCCATTCGGATTATTATTACTTAAACTCAAAGTACCAACCTCTACAGAAAATGGGTGAGGAACAAACTGCAGGGAACGAAAAGACTCTGCACAAAGTGAGCCAGTGCTAAAACATGAATAAATTATGCAAATCCAATTCAAGCTCAATTAAAACCAAACTCAGTACACACTTAATCCTCAGCTTCTGCAACACAATACTGATATGATATCACAGCTTTCAAGGACTGCTTCATTAAGGAAGCAATGAATGGTTTCTTAGAAGGCCTTAACAGAAAACTTAAAGGGTAAGTGGTTGCAGAGTCAGCAATACCTTTTCTCATGTCTTGTGTCCCTTTCTCAGCAAAGATTTGCAAGAACTGGTCAAGAACAGCCTTTTTCTAATGGAAAACGTAACTGCTGATATACTTGAAATTTCATTTCATAAACAGTAGTGTATGTTCACTTTAACAAATTACACATTAGGCATCTCCATCCACTGAAAAGAATAATCAAATAGAGAATCATTCTGTCAAGGTAATGCACAATTGCAAAGCCACATGACTTACTGCAAGAGACAAAACTGTAAGCATGGTGACACAAATGCTGATGCTGCATTTTGTGGCCACGCAAAGAGCTCATGAGTTATTTGCCATAATTTCCGAGTTTAAATTGAGACTAAACATACCTGAAAAAGTAGATTTAAAAATTCATTGGCAAGTGCACTCTTCACACTCCATATCTGGTAGTCCTCCAGAGTGAGGTGTTCAAGCTTCGTTAAAGGGAGGAGAAAAAAAAGGGAAGGAAATAACATCAAACCATTAACCTATTCCTATTACATTGCTCATTAAATGTGTCATACAAGGCATGACACAGCCAGTAATTTGATAAAAATTAGCATCTACCACTCTGCTAATGAAATTCGATGCAATCAAAGAAGAAAAATCCGTTTTAGCATAACATAGGCAACCGAGAGAATCAAAAAGCTTTGAGTACAGAGGATGAACTATGCACAGCATGTAACTTTTGCTCCTGCTCTCCACTGTTCAGAGCTAGTATTCATACTCAACTGCAGTAGTCGTGTTTTCTCAAACCATGAAACCAGCAGCAGAAGTATGTGACTGGTTTTGTGTCCTACAAAGTGATTGCCCTGACAAGATTAAGACAATCTAGGACTTTGATTGTCCAAACAAGCTCTGCACATATAGGTACTTGCATCCATTCAGAACCCCACCATCTCCTCTGTGGGTTGGGAAAAACTATTTTGGATTATCAAGTCCTTATGATCTTACCTTACAACATTAATTCTTAACCACTTGCAAAGTTACAGTAGCATAAAACTGACCGATGTCAGAGGAACTTCTGATTTTCATCAGTTCAGTGATAGGATCGATCTGAATTTCTTATATTGTACTATCATTCAAAGCCATTTTTACAGCAGTGGCAGTTACTCTGCCTCTTCTTACAGACCATTTTCTCCAGAGTTCATATAGGTCAAAGCTAACATATGAAAAGAGGTTAAATAATTTATGTAATTACTGCACCATCAGCTCTTTCAAGCACTATATTCATGATGCAACTATTAAAGATATACTGAAGGCTTAGGGACTTCCTTTAACTCTTTTTCTTCTTTAACAAGACTGCAACACATTTGCTTATAAACTACCCTTTTAAAAAAGCAAACAATAAAAACTTCAGAGGATGAAAGAAAGAGCTCAGTGAAGCTGCAATTTCTACTGCTTTGGTAACAGAGGAATGACAACATTTGCCTACCACTTTGTTGGAGTACAAGCAGGCAAGGCGACTATTAAAACAAGTAATTAAATATTTCTAGACATTCTTTACGGTTTTTATTGAATTATTTATAGCTTCCAGACACTCTTCCTAATTAGTGAAGCAAAAGATAAAATAAAGGAAACAACTTCCCCTCCATTGTTTGCAGATGATAGTGCTCATCTCAAAAAAAGCAAGGACATAATTAAAGATTTACACAGAGCTAACTATAAAGCACAATATAAACTACTAAGACTTTCTGCTGTGTGTCATGACAGTCATGACAGATGCCTCCACAGCTTCATGAATACTCTGCTCTGAAACAATACCACTAGTATATAGTTCACCGGTTGTATACAATATTATTGCAAACAAAGTAGTTTGATAATGATAATGCATAACATTATTGAATTAATACTACTCTGTTCCAGCACAGGAGGATAATGTGTCTTCCATAACATAAAATATAAGATACATTAATGCACTGCCCCCCTTTTTTCACAAGATCATTTATAATATGAAACAAAAGAACAGTTTCTCCAGAACAAAAGTCAAGCGTCAGATTTAAAACCGGTACTAATTTTTCACAGCAAAGCCTTGCAAACAGTATGCATATGCTTCAAATTCATTTCATTGGTTATGTATTTTTAGTTTCATATATAAGAGATGGTTTATAAAATTCAAACATGTTCTTTCTCTCACAGAACAATGTGGAAAATTTAATGGAAAAGTGACATTTCTTGAGATAGTCTTTTATTGACACATCTCTGCTTTAAAGAAAGAGTAAGATTTTACTTTCTTTCCTGTAAATAAACTGAAGAAACCAGGGTATAAAAATGGCAAGGAAAGAACTGCAAATTCCTACCTTTGTGTTATCATGCATATTCAAAATATCTTCTACGATTTCAGACAAATCCATGTCCAACTCCTTAACAAACAAAAGGATTAGAAAACAGAGTTAAATTTCCACAGCAAACCCTGGAGGTGCATGTGTTCGGAATAAAAATATAACTAAGAAATGTTGATGATTCCTCTGTGTAATTCACAACTGAGCACTTCCAGACAGTTGTACTTTTGTACCTAAGGCTTCTTTATATGAAACAATACATTGTAGTCCCACCATTCTGCTTTGGTAAAAGACAGGGCAAAGTTATGCAAGGTAAGTTACACCTAGTTAATCAATACTCCTCTGCTAAGGTAGGTAGGTCAAGGAAGCCTGTGTTTCACTGAAACCATATTCAAACAACATTCCCATTCCTACTTTTGAAGTATTTAAAGAAACAGAAGCAAATGAATAAACCCCCCAAATAAAACTTACAGGTATTTTATCAGTACGGTTATCTTTCCAGACCTCTAAAAGTGCAACCACCATTTCTTTAAGTTCAGTGCGAGACAACACACCATCTCGGTCAATGTCAAAAACCTTGAAGCAAACTGAGAAAAAGGAAATTACTTTTCTATGTTAGAACTACTCAACAAACATTATCTTTTTCCCCCCTTGCAGAATGTAAGTCTGCAGAGTCACAAGAACCTGATTTAGTACTGACAGTTTTGATGAGGCAGGATGCATGTGTGCTAGTGAGGAAATGGAGCAGCTGTGTTTAATAAACTGAAATCTAGATTCCTGCAATTCTGTGCTGTGTTTTCTGATGTGACATAGAAGGGAACATATGTGCATCCAGAAATTTCCAAGGAATGACAGCTTATAAGCTGCAGCAAGATGGCTTTGGAAAAGTATGGAACAAAGGTATTTCAAAACAAGAACCTTGCAGAGAGCCAACTTAAAACTGGACAGTAAATAAGCCAGAACATGCTATTCACCACAAAACAATCAAATAGGACAATCGTTTTATGTTATATATAATGAATAAGTGTTTGTACTTTCTTTACTGAGATACACGTTTCTGCATCACAATGCAGAACACTGAAAAATAACTTGTGAATTTTAATCCTTTCCCCCCAAACAGGTTGGTAATTTATATGAAGCTATGGGTAAGCTATAAAATACACAGAACCAGGTTTAATCATGCTTTATAAAACAAAGCCTTAATATTTAGAATTCCTTTAATTTTTTAACTTCTGCAGCCTGCCACATACTTATGCAGTGGAAAATTTCTAAACACGTGGAAACAACTGAACTTCATTGCTCAAACTGAAAAGCTTCTCTAAAATTAAGAGTTAACACTTCGCATACTTACACTTCTGTCTTTCTGCCAAGGGTCCCCTGCAACATGCTGAGAGCCCACAGGAAATTTCTTTAAAATCTATGTGATTGTCTCGGTTTTCATCAAAAGCATTAAATAAACCTGCAAACCACAAAAGCATCTCCTGTTACAGCATGTGGCTGGAAGAGTTGACAATCATACTTAACATTTACATGGAGGGTTAATGGTTAACATTTGCAAGGAGAAATACAAGCACTTATGATTGTAACTCTTTCTAAGCATTAAAAAGGTAATTAAGCCCTACTAAGACCATTTTAAAGGTGAATTAGACCACTCTTGCATCAAGAATTCTGAACTGTAGCCTTACTTTCACACCTTCCTTCTAATGACTGATTTATAGAGCATCCATCTACACCAGCATGGGCAGGACAAGCAAGGACCAAGATGGTAAAGGTACTCAGATGCAAAATGCTTTGACTTTTCACAGTGCCCATAAAGACAAAAATCACTGACTAATGTTGCAAATTTTGCCAGAAGTGAGTTAGTTTAGTTACCAGCCTTCAAATGACTTTTCTATTCATTCAGCACATAGAACCTTTTTCATCCAATAATTTTTTCTTTTCGTGCACATGACTCAGTTGCACTATCCACAGAAGACATATTAAATGACCAGAAACCATCTGAGTTTCCCCATAGCAGCTGCATAAATTTATATCACTAAGTAGATAAAACATACTTCCGAGCAAAAGGATGTGGGGAAATATCCCTATTGAATTGAACATAAGTTCTGGTGTTTTAACAGCTTGCATCCACTGCAGATGAATTTCCCATTTTCTACTTAGAGTTGCCACTTGTCAGTAAAGCTGCCCATTTGCTGGTAAAAAATTGTCACTCTAGGACTGCAGATAAGAAGTAGCACGTAAGTAGAACGTTACTTAATGTCCTTATGTTGTGCAGTAAATGGCAATTACACAACTGCAACCTTCACTCAATACCAGAGTGGCTTCAACTTGAAAGACCACCTTGGTTATTAATGGCTACATAACACACAAATCTCCTGACCAATTCTTCTAAACAAAACCTTCCTTCACTTCCAGTGTTTGGGAAGACCCTTTCATTGACTGCATGATACAACTTCTGACTTGCATGCTGAATTCTCATTTAATAGATGAAACTCACATTTATCAGTTTAAAAATGGTCTTCTATTCCACCTCATTCAGGGACAATAGTGTATTTTGTCATTAAGGAGCAGAATTAAAAATTTTAAGCAATCAGAGGGCAAATTATACATAAAGTTTGACATATTTCCTGACAATCAATAAGAACGCAACACATATCGCTTCCTTTGTCATTCCAGATTTCCCAACAAACAGAGATTACTCAGGCATCTTTTCTCCTCCTTAAACATTCAGAACTCAGTGGAACAAATCTCTCTAAATTAAGCTTAAAATACATGTTTAAACAGGCCCACTTTTAAAGCCACAAAATGTACATGTCAGTAGACCATCAGGTACTGAACACCACAGCAACATGAGCCCCTCACAGGTTTGATTGAAGTTCCATACCTTCACTCAGAGATGGATGAATAGGAGGGGAAACTAAGGGGGCAAATGTTTCTAAATCAAAACGTCCAGTTCTTGATTGAGCTTTTAGCAGCCAGTATCGTTTTTCAAGATCGATGATGTCAGATTCTTCCACTGTATAAGCAACAAAAATAAAAGGAACTGTTGGTGATATCAAGACCACACTAGAATTCGGCACCAAATAAAAATGCAGCATTATTTTGTCACTATAAGAAATAATGTCCATTTTTTTAAAGCCCAACTCCTGCTTATAAAAATTAAAAATCTGAGCAATAGAGAAATAAAGATCCAATTTTATCTTCTTTATCTACAGAATCACCTCACCATTTCAGAGCTCCCATCAATAACACACCATCACAAGTGTTTAGAAATACAGAAATTAACTTTTCCCACTGCTAAAGACTACAGCAGCCTCTTCATTTTCACATATTTCTTCTTGGTGAATTGAACAGGTAGATCATATGTGCAATACCTTATTTTCCATGGTATCTAGTATTTAAATCCTCTAAGAGTACGCAAAGTAGCATATGAAGAAAATCCCAGACTTTAAAATATATATATACAAAAAATTAGTACTTGGCTGCTCTTGAAAAATTCCTGTTACAGTTTTAAGTCTTCTGAGACAGTAACAATGCTAAACTTTAATGTGACTTTTAAACACTGCACCTCATCATTATTTTTTTCTAAATACAAACCACATTTGTTTCACTTCATTTTTATACTATAGATGCACTTAGGAATCCAGTCAAGATTGAGGAGTGAAATACAAGCCTAGAAGGTACTTTAAATGGAGGAACTTACAAGCTAATTTAAAGAAGGGAGGAAAAAAAGCCAAACACCCAAACTAACAATGAGCAAAGCAAGGTGCTAGGCAAAAGAAAATAAAAACAGCCAGAGGAAGAACTTGCACTTTCTTTCAAAACCTTCTATACAAATTTTGGTCTCTTTGTATTTTATCCTTGGAAATAAAAAATATCTATAGATAAATGTTATGTTTCTGCTTAACAATAGTTTTAACCTTTTTACATATGCAAGTGTGTCACAACACTGCTTTAGGTCAGTACAAATTAACTGGCTCTCAAATAGATACGTAATGACAAAGCTGTCTATATTAAGAACCACTACGTGTGATCCCATTCCCAGATGGTTCTGAGCCTCTAAATCCACGCCAGCTTTCTAATAGGTTTAACTTGAGCTATTTGGCCCGGTTTAGTCAACAGAAACAATAATAATCCTGTAAGGCTTAAGAACAGAAGAGAATCCAAAGAAGTTATATGCCAAATTGAAACTTTACTGATTTCTTTTCCTATTTCTACTGTAAGTAGTAGTAATTTGCTCAGAACAGTAACTTAGGTAACCTATAATAAGCATGAACTAGTAGTAACTACCCAGCAGGCACATCATATAATGCATCAGAACTTACACAATATCTTGCTCTCAACAGCAGAAAGATTGGGAAAATTTTAACAAAAGATTCATATTTGAATCTTTTCTGCTGTTTTCATGCTGTTAGAAGATTGTACAGGATTTACATCTTCCTGTAAAATATTTTTGGGCAGGCTAACTACAAAAGCAAGATCAGTATAAATATGCCCTCCTTTTCCTCTATACAGTCAGTACAATCACTAGACAGGCCATACAGTAGCATGCAGAACATCCACACCAAAGCTGCAGTTCCAGGGTCACATTAAGCTAACACAACTTCAGGCTGAAAAGTTTACCTTCCCCCTTAACCCCAGGCACGGGCGCAGCATCCTCGCTTGCATCATTATCAGGTATTGTGCATCTATATAGTAAGTGAGATAAGAGAACTGATCCAAAAATAAAACTAAACTGATTTCCCCCTTCTCTTCTCCCTCTCCTTCCTATATTGATCCATTCCTTTATCTGGCTTACCATCTGGCTCTTGGTTGTGTTGTAATCATAAAGTCATTTGGGTGTGAAGGGACCTCAAAGATCATTTGGTTCCAACCCTCTGCAGTGAAGAGGGACATCTTCAATCAGATCAGGTTTCCCAAACTCTGTCCAACCTGACCTTGAACATGTCCAGGGATGGGGCATCTACTGCCCCTCTGGGCAACCTGGTCCAGTGTTGCACCACCCTCATCATCTAGTCTGAATCTACCTTCTTTTAGTTAGAATTATCACCCCTTGTCCTATTGCTACAGGCAATTCTACTAGAAATCAAGGAAGAGAAATGGAGTAGTTATTTCTTTGAAGATCTGCACACAGAAATATCATAGGTGCTTAGGACTGCCACAGATATAAGCAGCTTCACAATCCTAAGCTGAGCAGCCAGGTGATGTGGAACTGCACTGCATCTGGTATGTTCCAAGAAATACAGGGATGTCTTGGTGTAACAACACACCTACCCCACAATGGTCAACGTATCAAAAGATGGGAGCAAATCTACCAAATAAAATGCACTCTCCCTCAGTCTTGTTGCCTCTGCAGGTACCAGGGTGCTACAGTACTGATAAGAAAGAGCTCACAAGGCATGACATTAAGGACTAGAGTACCCGTATTCCACAGGAAATCCAAGAAAAAGTATATTTGTGGAGTTTCAAGAACAGAAATAAACAAAAAGTGAAATAATCAAATAAAGGTATAAGCCACTTTCTGAGACAGAACCATAAGCACATGAAGAGAATCACTGTACTATTGTACTACCTAAACAACTGCACATAAAGGGCAAGTTTGTACTGGCATTTAGAGGAATTGCACATACACATCATTGCTCTCATTAGCAAACACAAAAGCATTATGCTAAATCTCTTGATCATACCCATGTAAATCAGTTTCCTTTTAAGCTACCTTTGTGACTGGGAAGAATAACAAATGTGCTAGTTTGCACTTCATTCCTGAAATAATGCAACACTAAAGAGTACCCAGAAAAACAGAAGTTCACACTGTCTTTACTGAAGAGTAGATCTGCAGCAACCAGCTTTAATGGCAGGTGCGTTCTTTCTTTTCAGTAATTAAGAACTGTAAGCCAGGGTCTTTGGCCAAATAAAACATTCTCCAAATCTACAGGAGAAGCTATTTGTGCTCCAGTTTTCAAATTGTACTTCGCAGATGGTTTTTACAGTGCTAACTTTATTGGTTTCTTATTTTAATCTCACAAATGAAAGGTTATCAGAAAGCATCTTATCTGCATTTCTGGCCAGCAGTGGTTGAAATGACATGATCATTTAAAAGACAAAGAATAGCTGGTAAGTATTGGCATAAATACTACATTGATATGACAGCCAAGGCAGGTCCAGGCTATTGATTTTCTGCATTAAGAACTGAACGTCATAGAAAGTAAAACTGAGAAAGAGGTAAGTAACATTGTTTGTACTGATGAGATACAAGTAAAGTTGAATACAAGTAAAAATGTGACAAAAGAATACTTTTCATTCATAGTAACAACTAACTGAATCGGAGCTCACTGCAATAGTTTCACTTACATAAAATACAGAAGGATTTACTGGATTACAGCTCACATGAAAGTGTAACTGCAGCTGAAAAGCCAGCTCTTGCAGAATTTGATTTCTCCAGAGTGATTTTTGGCACATAATCTTGTAAATCAGTCTTGGGATACGTAGTGCACCATCTACTCCTCCATAAAAGTAAACTAAAAGAAATCTCTTGCAATTTATGATTTATACATATAATCATATTTGCTAGTGAATTTTAAATGAAGACAGATAAAAGCAGACTGCACTTATTATCCAAACATACTGATGTGTATGAAAAAAATGTGTGTTCTAAAGAGCTTTTATAGAAAGGATTTTGCCTTTTCAAAGTACAATTTTTTTCTCCCAATTCCTGTTCAAATCCCATCAGAAGTGTGAACTGGGCTCTCATTCAGCATTCCAAATCTTAAATAACCTCTGATTATTTTTAGAAGTGTACCTCATACATATATACAACGTAGTCCAAACCATCAGAACAGCCTGGCTTTCTAGGCAAGTAAGCATTCATTTTTGCCAATTAAATACATGATATGATTATTTCAAGTCACACAGAGGTATCATGCATCTGTGGAACTTAACCATATACTACCACATTACTACCATAGGCTATTTTACATATCACTCATCACTCGTCCATTAGAAATAAGAAAAACTTTCAGAGCTGTAAAATCATGAATAGTGCCTCTTAGCTCAATTCTCTAAAATGAGACAAGTGTAACTCAAGCAATGACAATGTCAAGCACACCACAAGCTTCCTACTCTAAAGGAAGGACAAGTAAACATTCTCAGTAAAAAGATGCATCAGAGAAACTGTAAGTCTACTAAGAATGAGTTAATTTAAACCCAGCTGCCACTCTGAGATGGACAGTCAGGTCGCATGACAGTGTTAAAGACTGAAAAAAGCATCCTTCATTTCAATGCCACTCCCATGACATGTATGCCCTTCTTAAACACTACACAGGTAGCAAGCCATGAATAATCTTCTGTCTGGAAAAATTAAAACCTGTTTTCATTTCAGGCACTATTTATGATAATTCTTTATACAACCAGAATTAACTACAGATTTCAGTATATTTGAAAACTTTAATTTTTACCCACCTATTGGCACAATCCTCTCTGGTTCACAGCAGTAGAAGCATACCATACTCCCAGCATTTTAACTGAAACTGGGTTTGCTTTACTGTTTACCATGATATCCTCCACACAAAACCCAGTCCCTGGTCGTGGAGAGCACTCTTCATCACACAGCAGCAGAGCCAGAGCCCCCGAATGACTGAACACCAAACTCTTTCTGACTGACCACACTTGCTTGTTGCTTTGAGATTAACACAGGGAAGGCTCCAGGACATGGGCACAGAGAGCTGCTTTGCAAGACACAAAATAGCCTGGGATAACTAAGAGGATAACTAAGTGGCAAGAGGCAGATTAAGTGAGACTGAAGCTTTTTCTTATTGGCCTGGTCTGTTGTAATACTTTCATCCTTTTCCTTTTTAATTTGAAATACGGACACACATTAGAGAGGGGAATATTATAACTTCAGCCAAAATCCTTGTGTGTGTCAGACATGACTATCCAGACATGCATCTAGCAGAATATGGATTATCAGTGCCTTAATACAGGAACACATAGAGAACAGGTGTTAAACACGCTCTTAAAGGCACCTTTCATAAACCTGAAATCTTCAGCATTTTCTTCTAGTGGTCTTCCACATATCAGGAAGAGATGGTGTTTCAAGCCTGGGTACCACAGCTGAGGTGGGCAAGCTACAGAACATGTATTTTACATCCAGCCTTTTAATGTGAGCAAAGTTAAGTGATCACTTCACTTTCCTTTTCTTTTATAGGCTCACATCTTCATCTTATCATGAAGCCCTAGAGGTTTATAAACCCATCTCTGACAGAAGATGTTACTTCCACAACATTCAGGCTCAACTTTCTAGTGCTTCAAAACCTCACTCTTCCATTTCACCCATGCTGCCTGGTTACCCAGGGTTTCTCTCATTTATTATGCTAAATTAGCAATAACTGCATGTTCTAAAATACAATTATTATACTGATTACACACTGTCTTAACTGCATCTCAGTACGTAAGAGCTGTCAGAAAAAGCAGGAGCATTTTGATTAATATTTCTGATGACAGAAGAGAGCGTCTTCAATTCAAAGGAGAATTAAGGTGCTATTTAGTAAGAACTCAGTGACACAAGAACCGGGTAACAAAGAAGTACAAATTACAGTCTTTCAGGTTGAAACCAGTAACCCCTCTGATAAATGGAAGTATTCTCCCCATGAAAAAGCACTGAAAACCTAAGTATATAAGCCCATCACATGTCACTGAGACACACCAAAATGAAACAGTCATAAAAAAAGGCAACCATCACCTATGTTGCACCAGAAAAGACCTCTCAAGCCAAGTGAAGGCAAGCAATGAGGACTCACCTAGAGTATGACAGCTACATGTCACCTGAGTCCAAGATGGAAAGGGGATGGAGCACCTGGTCTGAAATAGACTCAAACTGTGCTCATTTTACTTTGACAAAAAGGTCAAGAAGAAACATAAGAGTCACTTGCATTTATAGGGAAGAGTAAAAAGGAGAAAGAGCAGAGACTGTCTGAAACCAAGGACAACACTGATGGCAAATGAAGATAAACTGCCCACAGACACATGTAGGAGATGTACCGGAATAACTTTCCCCTACTGGATAAACCCCCCCAACAAAACAAATAAGCCTCAGTATCTCACAAAAGAAATGCCCCAGTGACCCCCAGGGTCTGCGCTGGGTGGGGCAGGAGATCTTTCCACAGCTCATGTCCCTGTACATCTCTCTGCCAAGCCAAGCCACAGAAAGCTGTGCTTTGCAGGTAGGATGGAGTCTGTTCCATTCTGATACCTACAGGAATAAACCAGTCAGAGCAGGCAGAAAAATGACATCCTCCAGCAGCCGAGGATTGTTGTATTATTGAATTACTGCATTTGGACTTAGAGCACTGGAGATGCTTAATTTGTAATTATTTAGGATGGATAATGATCTGGGAGAATATTCCCCTACAGACCCTTTTTGTATTAGTAGCAGTCCCTGAAAAGATTTATCTTTGATTTGCATGCTCCACCACAGTGCTATTCAGTATGGGGTTTAATAACAATAATAAGTGAGAAAATCCAAATTCCTGCTAGTTGGTGGGTACTCCGTGGTCGGAGACACTCATATCCCTGAAACTGATTTTTAGGAATAAAGGTCTAAGAGAAACTTAAATTATTTTGGTAGTTTTCAAATTAAGTGATTCATATTTATGATGGAAATGGAATGGAACAAAATTTGATTAAAAGCAGCAAATGTGTGCAACTTCCTGTAACTTTAAAATTTCGTTTCTAATTACGTGTTGAGGAATATAATTAAAGTCATCTGCATATCAAAATAAATGTTATTTACAAGCAAAACATCAGAATTCCTTTGTTTCCCTGGTAGCTTGGCTCATTAAGCAAATTCAAACGGAGTCACTGATGCTTCGCAATAAAATGTTTTCTGTCTGTTTCTAAACCAATGTCAGTAACTTTCAGTGTTTTTATCGCTGCGATTTTTCATGTCTCTGACATGTTAGTCAAGACGTTGAATGGAAGCACGCCGCTGTGAGAGGAGGCAGGGCTTGGCAGGAGGGGCTGAAGCCGGAGCCAGGAGAGGGCGCGCTGCAATCCCAGCTGGAGCCCAGCAGCCAGGTGAGACATTCCCAATGGCACTGCAGAGTTTCACGAATTACTTTTCGTTGTACAGGAGAAGAAATTGTAAAAGCTTTCACGCTCTCACCGCATTCTGATAAGTGTTTGCCTAGATCCACTAAGCATTACTGCGGGTACTTTGTTTCCCAAAAGGCAACTGTTAGCCTAGGAAAAGTATTACAAACAACCTTCACTTAGAGAGAAGAAACTGTCTTAACAGCTCTTCCTGTTTTACATTGTGTACACATGTCAACAAAACTTCTGTACTCAACTTTTTACTTTAGATTGACCCAGTTAGACCACAATTCCTTCCAAGTGCTCAAGCATTGATACTTTCCTTACTTATGCATCTGTTGTGTGGACTCCTATACTGCCTGAAATCACAAGGGAAATCATCCAACACCTTTTAAAGAAAGTATTTGTCCAGACCTGGGGGAGGCTGGTCAGGTCACCTGCAGGTTAGCTCAACAGTTCACCTTCCTATTATCCTAAATTCCTGTCAGTTTTCCATATCTATCATCTGAAAGATCCCAGGCTGCAGACATCCTAACACAGACAACCACCTTCTGTTGCAATTATTGCAACACTTGACTGGGAAATCAAAAATACAGTGACATTTAACTTTATCTAGAAGTCCAAACCTGTCATATGATCTTTCCAAGTCTGGTTAAGTATACTGAGCCTGTGGACAGCATGCAGTTTGAAACATGTTTTTTACCCATTCAAAATACATGGAAGCTACATAGTTTTCTGGAATACAATGAAAAGTTTGTCCCCAGATCTGACAAACACTTGAAGATTCAATAATCACTTCAAACTGTCCCAAATATTTTATTTCAGCTTTTTAATCATAACAACTGAAAACTTATTTTTTCACTCAGTTCTACCACCATCATACTCTGCCAACAGCTTATAAAAGCTGTCAGTAAAGAAACAGAGACCACCACCAGCTACTAGAAAACACTGGATTTCTCAGGAGTCTGACACAATGTATAGCAACAGAAGTTAAGTAAAAACTTTGGAAAAAGTTTTAATTTCAAAGCATGGAAAAATGAAAGTAAGCTCTGAAATAACATCCAGAGGCCTGGGGTAAAGCTTTCTCTGAACACTTAGGGCAATGAACACTTAACAAGGATGGAGCATGGCACATCTCCATTTGATACAGCTTGAGAGATTTATTTCCTAGGGCTGAACTCTAGAAAATTCAAAGAGTTGGTTTGTTTGGGATTTTTTTAGCATACTTATTTCTCTACTTTGTCTATTAGACCTCAGAGTCTTCTGTAACCTCAATGTCTACTGCAGTCTCATGTAACGCAAATAAATTACCTGTCTATAAACTTCTAATTTTGTTATGCATTTTCATTTCAGATGGTCAGAACAGAATTTTAATGCTCACATTTAAAACCAAGAGAAAAGCCTGTATGTTGCTTTATTCAAGTAAGCCACCCATTAAAGAGATTAAATGCCACGTTGACACCAACAAAGAAAATCTATGAGTACAACCAGATTGCTCAAATCCCTGACATCTCTATAGCGAACACCCTTCTCCCAGGGATACCAAAGTCCCTCAGATGCTTTACTGTAACGTATGCTTACATTACACTTGCACATCAAGTACAATTTATCAGCCTTCTGGTTTTACATTTAATTTAAAAAACAGCTGCTCCTTCTTTTATATCAGTGTAGACATAAGGAAGCACTTTTCTTTGGAGATTATTCCTAAATGCAAATGCTGAGGACATTTCTCTTTAGAGAATTTAGTTCCCTGGCTGTATCACATGACAGGAATATTACTTATTTTACTGCAGAACACAAATTAAGAGGTAAAACTTGTTTTTGAAACGAGCATTATTTTCAGAACTGTCTCCATAGTTTTACGATTCACTATATCTGAAAGACCAAATGTAAACCCAGTATTAATATCAAGTCACTTCAGATAAATGTTTTTGTCAAAAGAGAAGATATTTCTGCCCCCCTCTTTTTCTCTCCTATAAGAAGTGTTGTAGTCTCAGTATTGTTATCTCAGCATTGTTATTCTTAAAAACGGTGACTCACAGTGTCCTCATCCATGTTTTACAGGTTACAGCACAAAAATCAGAGAACAAGTTAACACGGAGAAGAAATTTCTCTCACTGAACACGTATCTCATCAGAGTAGTGAGATTTCCTGAACAGATACACAAGGCAACGGTTTCTGTCTCTGGAACAGCTTTGAAAACCACACATAATACCACCAAGCTTCGTTTACTTACAGTGTGTGACTCCAGCCAGGGTTTGATAGAAGGTAGGGGTGTCACTGTCATCTGTGAGTGTCACATACACACCTCCAGACAGCAGCCAGCGGGAAAACGTGAAAGCATCTTTGTTGTGCAATAGCCAAACCCTGAACTTCTCATAGTTTACCTTTTCACCCTGTAAGAAAAATGAGAAAATAGGAGCTGTTTTTCTCTGCTTTCTCAGTGCCAGTAAACAGCAATTGGGACAATTTCCTATAAAAATAAGTACTAAAATAATTTTTTTCTTTGGAGCCATGCCTGGTTTTCCATTTCATTCTGCAATCCAGCACTGAGAAGGAAATTAGACTCCTCAGCACTCTCTGCGTTTCAACCACCTACTCAGTGTGGCCTTTGGAAAGTCATTTACTCTAAATCCCAGGTTAAAGGGATTAGAAGAAAAACAGTTGCTTATAACTCAAAGTAACTGAGGTTATTTTTATGAATTTAAATTTATTATGATAGATAAAAGCTCTTCTGTGCCAAGTAACAGGTGCTGTAAAATCAAAAACATTCTGTTCTATCTGTACAAGTATACAAACACTTAGCACAGAAAAATCTGAGTTTTGAATAACAAACAGCATGATTAACCACTGCAGTTGCATGTAAATTTTTTTGCCTCTATTGCCCAAACCCCACTTTAAAGCATACATGTAAACATGACATTCACAGTATCTCCTAAGTGAATCTCTCCTACTGAACTGCCTGTTCAGAAATACATAAAACCCAAAAAACTAAAGACTCACAGAGTTTAAATGCTGGAGAGGCTGTTTAAACCATTTAGTTGAGTGGTTTCCAAGCTGTGGCCATGAAACCATAGGGATCAACACACTAATTTCTACAAGACCCACAAAACTAACTGAAATAAAAGCAAACCTATTATCAGTAGATAAACTCATATGGAGATCCTAATATCCATGGGAAATAAACAGAGGTCTGCAAAGTGAAACAGGTTTCAAGTCATTGATTATTTAAACTTCCCTAATATCACAGACCATTGAACTTCACTGAATTACACCTCTACAGAATTCAGTAATTTGCATTTGGCCACAGTCTATCTGCAACTGCCAACTACAGAAAATGGAAAATACACTACTTCCTTTGCCAGGTTTCTCAAATGGTTAATCACCACCATTGCTAATGCATTTGCTTCATATCTCAATTGTAGTGGATTATTTCAGGTTCCATGTACTCATTCTTTTTATTTCTCTTTTTCCTAGACTAAAGAGCGTTACATTTTTCACCAACAAATACATGCAGAAATATCCCAACACTCACATCTACTATCACAGACTTCCACAAGGTTTTAATTCAAGGAAGTCAAGATGCTACACTGCTATTCCATCACCAGTTTAATCTGTATGTACCCACACCAGTGACTGATAGCATGGTCCTAACCTTCCTCTTACCACCACAATTTCTGATCCTTCACCCCCTCTCTTATGTGACTGCAATCACATTAGTGCAGTCAGGTGGCAAAACAGATCTAGCTGAGAAATAACCTACAGGACCAGGAGCTACAGGAAAAGGGCTTACTTCTCAGCCAGGTCATTTTCCCAATCCAGTTCATCAAGGCATCACATAAGTACTTGAGCCAGCACAACGGCAGGAGAATTAATGTCAGACAGGAAAAGGGTAACTCGACATTGTGGACTTTGCAGGATTTAACCCATTAAGGAATCACTTGCTAAGCAAAAAAATCCTCCACTGGGCAGTTAGCAGAGAAGAAAAAAGCACGTTTTTGTCTGAAATTTCTCTAATGGTTTTGATCTGAGAGAAAATGATTTTCTTACTACCTGTTCCACTCTACTTTCCCCTCTACTTTTTGCATTGCCTTCTGTAAACACAGCAAGAGCTGTGTCATATTTCAGACTCTCCACTGTCCAGCTGATTAGAGGAAGGACAAGGAAGGAGAGGGACAGGAAAATTTTGGACAGGGGGCAGAAAGCATTTGAAGCAAGTAACGTTTACAACTGAGCCATGATGGAACTATGGCAATCACTGAATCAGTTTCCTGTATTTCAGAAACAAGAGTGAGGAAAAACTCAACTATATTTTAAAGCTAGTATTTCTAGATGAGTGCATGCAATAATTCCGAAGAACAGAAGTCCCTACAAACCTCATCCTTGAAAGCATAAACTCACCCACCATACGGCAGGCAGGAAGGCCCACAGCAGGAACATTAAACTTTCTCACTCTCCAGCACTGACCTAGTATGATTAACCAGCCAGTAAATCCTGCTGAGTGGGTTATTACACTGTTTTCATTTTAAAAGAGAAATCGAGATACAGCATTTTCTTGAACAGGAGAACGGTACGAAGCCAGACTGATGCCTCTCTTCCTGCAAGTCTTCATAAAGTATTTCTGGATTTCTTGGACATCATGCAATTAACTGTTAGGGTACAATTCATCACACCATATTGATAGGAAATTATAAATAGGAAATATTGAAGTGGGTCAGCTCCAGAAACTGGACTGTAATGTACATATGATTTATGATTCCAGCCAAGAATGAAGAACATAATCACTGCCTACAAAGCCAACATGATACCACTGACAGATTAAATGAGTCTGCCTCAGCCAATGCCCATAACCAAGGTTATCTTCAACACACTACAATAAAATTTAGGTAATTAAGTAATCTGATATCCACAAATAAAGCTTCTAGTCCACCAATTTTTCAATGGAATGTATAATGACAACTAGGTTTTGCTGCTCAATAGTTCTCCGACAAGAAATGCAGCAACCAAAGCACAAACCCCTGACAATTCAGCAGAATCACTAGTGCCAAAGAAGTATCTGTGAATATTTAAAAGTAACAATAGCCTGTTTTAGAGAAGGACTTCAGCAAGACTCATAAAGATTGCATCTCTCAACCAACCCAAAGCATAAATAAATGTTAAAGCTCCTGGCAGGCAGAGCGAGACAAAACTAATACTATAAAAATATTCTTTTTAAGCACCCACTGCTGACAGGCATTTTTAAATCCAGGATGCAGATTTTCTTCTCCCTCTCAGATCTGTGTTCTAGATTTCTTCCCCACTTGCAATAAAATATCCACACCAATGAATAAATTTCCACTAGTGATATTAGTATTCAAATTTACTTGATAACATGATTACCCTTGGAAAATGACATCTTTCAAATCAGCCCAGTAAGTAAAGCAGCATGGAGAATGCCTACATTTACATACTAAGCTGCTAGTCACATCAATACAAATCACATGTAATATCACAACATGAAAAACTGTGAGCTTTTATCCAATTTAGATCAGGTAAATTTGTTTCCATACATGCATGAACATGTCTATGTCAGAGGAAAACAAACTCCCCAATCTAATTTTCATGTTTGTGTAAATGCAACAGGCTAAAACCTGTATGAAATACCTCAGAGAAACATTTCTTGAGCGACTCTGGGACTTTCCCATCAACCACATGCAGCATCTTCTCCATCTCTTCACGGACAACATAACTCCCAGATTCGTTAGAAAAGAGGCTGAAAATGTCTGAGGAAGTAGAGATACGTTTAAGCAACAGTTTTCAAATACCAAATTTACAGCTGGCTGAGAACACCAAAGGCTCTCCAGCAACCAAAGGACTAAAATCTTAGGTTGATTCAATTTCATTGTAGCTCAATAAGGTTTAGGTCAAGAAGTGTATCTCCTTTTTCTTTTATCACTGTCTGCTAATCAAAAGGAAAATAAATACTGTCATGTCAGATTAACAAGGAAGACAAAACAACAGAAGTCAGTAGGCAGATGCCTTCCTTTGTTTTGAAAAACATCAATGCCGTCCTCCTTCCTCTGCCCACATACAGTTATCAACAGCTTTTCTACAGAACATTTAACATTTATATTCATGATGACTTACCAAATATTTCATTTTGGTGAGTACAGAAAACAATAATGCAGCAAATTCCAAAATACACAGCTAAAAATGTCTAAAAATACTACATTTATTGGCAAATATATGCCCTGGTTACATATAAAAACAGGGACTCAGTATATCACAATCTATGTTTGCTTTACATAGTGTATTTTACACTCATTATCCACTGTCCTGTTGTTATTGTTGTAACAGACATTACTTACATTTTGCTTTCTCTTCCTCCCTGCCTCTTGTAAGTAGAACTAATCCAACTATCAAGTTATTGAAGTGCAGCCCTTTGGATATTCCTCCAAATGAACAGTAGATAACCTAGAAGAATAGTTAGAGAAGTTAACCAAGAAGTTCACATGGAGATGTCAGAACTAAAAGCAAGAACTTATACTGAGGCTCCACCACGTGCGGGTTTTAGGCTAGTCTCCTCATATTCAGCTAAACACACTTCCAATATTAATTCTGTTACACTTCTGTAGGTCTTCCAGTACCTATAAAATAGCCTTTCCAGGGTTTATTTAGGGAAATGCAGGTACTTTCATGAGCAGCATTATTAAAAAAAACGCTAGAATCCTCCAGTGAAGAGAGCTTCTTGCTTGCTCATTGGTGTTACTTCCCCAGACTTCTTTATCAACACAGTAAAGATGAAATCTCCTCCAGGCTAGGCTTTGATAGTCTCAACACCATCAAGAAGTTGTTGGAGCATCAAGTGCTTCATTGCCCCAAACACAGGAGATGCACTTCCAGTAAGTCATCAAAACCTACAGCTTTGAAAAAGATGTGGCACATGCAAAAACCTCACAACTTTCCATCAACTATACCTTAACTATCTCAACATGCAACTGCTGGTAGAATGACCATTCCAGTTTAGTACCTCCCTCTAACAACAGGATTTAAATCTTCCTTCCAAGACAATCAAGACTTTGAATCAGAAGTTACTCAAAGATCCACAGTGTGGATGCAGGCAGTGGAAAGGCTGCAGCATTCACCTTTCACATGGAAAGTCTGGACACTGCAGCTTACCTTACTCACCAGCACCTTAACAGTGATTCAACACTGACATATGAAGCAAACAGCAAGTGCTTTTAGTGAACAAGAATTACCAACTCGCTTACTGCAATATATTACTTCACCTTGCCTCTAATACTACAGAGCACAAGTAAAAAGATGTATGCTGTACTGCACTTAAAACATGGACTCCTGTAATCCCAAATCTATTCTTATAAGCACCAGCACTTTATCAGTATGACACAAGCGAAATCTGCATTAGGTGTTAGAATTTAAATCAGCCAGAACTTATCAATTATTCTTACACAGAAGAATTATTTCAGTGTCTATGTCTTACAATCTGATTTTCTTACAAGTATCACACTGAGCATCTAACCATAAAAAGAAAGTATTAGGTCTAGCTGATGAGGAACTATTACTGTGAAAGACCAGAACAAAGTGATTTGTCACTGATCATGGTCTGGATAGCAGACTTGTTTGCTGAACTTGTTTTTTAAATATAACTTCTTCAGTGGGAAACATAAAGAGATCAACTTCTATTAGGAAAAGCATTGTGCACATTTAAAATAGTATTTTCTTTGCTGGCATCTGAATTACATTCTAAACAAACAATATTAAAACCGGGATGTGTAGACACAGTTACGGATTGCTTTTTCATTTTTCTCCAGTAAAGCCTTGAGTATGTTCTTTATATGAAAATTTAGCCAAACAGCAATAGCAGACTTCAGAGGTCAGCAGAGCTTCAGAATTATTGTGGACAGATCCACTACTTTGTGTGTTACTATTCATTAGTAGAGTGAATCACTAGTAAACCTAGAATGAAACCTGCAGATCTTAGCTGCAACACCTGTGTCCCTTCCCCCTGCCTTTTGTTGGTTTTTAAACATCTGAACTCCAACCACACACAATTCTAAGCAGCTAAAGCAACATATTTAACTCTTCTGTACCTCCCAAGGTCCGTTTGGGCTTTTTCCCCCTCTTTGAAACTACAAATGCTTGCATAATGAATTTCATCTTTTTTGCAAGCCTTCCAAAGAAGCTATGACACCTTAGGGCCCACAGCCAAAAATCCATCAGTCTACAGAATTAAAACCCTCCTTTCCCTCCAGTAACAGCAACCACAGTGCTGCAGCCAGAATCCTCAAGCAGCAGGCAAAGGTGCAGGAAGAGCACTGAATATCAGCCATGTGCATGAGCCACTGCTCTCACTAGCTCAGGTGTGGTGTCCAGCTCAAGTAACCGTTAAGCCAGGACTGGGAGTGACCAAACAGAACAGCCATGGGCCTGTCTAAGGCACTGGATAGGTGAGGCTAAACCACACAGTGCTGAAGTGGCAAGAAGGAGAAGGGGAAATACCTAACACAGACTAGCTACATTAGATTTACTACTGCAACTGCCCTTTATGCTCTAACACAGTGTGGAAAATGTACTGCTGTTGCTCTTCCAGCAGTAGGAAGCAGACCAGCAGATTTCATTTGCCGAATGTGTTTTAGACAACCTCCAAAGAGATACTGGGCAACAAGGTAGTAAAAAATGCTAGAATTTTGTTCACTCCTCTGTCACAGTTATTACCAGACATAACGCTGAAGCAGACAAACTCCCTGAAGACACTCCATATGGTTCTGTGCATTACCTTCAGCAAATCCTCTCGTTGTTCACCCATCAAGCTATCCCTTTTCATTGCTATCCTCTTATTAAAAGATGTCTGAAGGCAAGTAAATGCAAATGAGGCCAATAATACCAAAGGATCCAATTCTACAGAAAACATTATGTAGAACCTGCAGCTTCATTCCACTATAAGACATAGCACTACCCAAATACATTAACTTCCCAAAGGGTGCTCAGATCATCCTCTTCTATTACTCAAGTGTAATCCATTTACAAATGCTTGCAGGGCTAAATTATTAAAACTAAATTTGTGTTCTATTTGGGCACAATGATTGTATATGCTTCATGGACAATGTCATGGCAGAAATTTCAATTCCACACTTTCTACGTCTAATCATTCTGATTTCAAAAGATGCCTTCAAGGCTACACTGTGTAAGCAATTTACCTTCATACGTACATTGGAATCATTACTTTTTTTAAAATATGCACTTAGCTCTGCTGAATACTATAGTTTAAGTCCTAATATAATTATTTTTTGGTTTAAAAAACCCACAAAGAGCACAAAAAAAAGAGGATTCTTCCATTTCAGATTAACAGCACTTCCAAAACAAAAAATACATAAATGAACAAACAGATGAAAAATCACTGGTTTTCTCTCACAAATTTTAGTAAAACATGATCTTTTCTTTATGCTTCATTCTCCATCACTCAAATTTAACTTTCCTTTTAGACTAAGAACAGCTATGTTATAAATTACCTCAAATAAAGCTATCTCCTATCTTCATCCAACTGAAAGCATATTTCTAATTCATACCCATTTCTGAGTCTCTTCCACTGATTTCTGTTGAGCTTTGTATATCTCAGTTCCGACTTCAGCTGAATGCCAAATATTACATTTCATAGACTCACAGAATAGTTAGGGTTGGAAAAGACCTTAAGACCATCTAGTTCCAACCCCCAACAGGGGCAACACTATGAAAGAAAATAGTTTTTTAAACATGCACATGTGCAGGAAGGTAACTATTTTTCTACAGATATATACACACACAGTATTTATATCCATGCAGCATTTATATATTATTTCAACACACTGACTGATCAAGAAGAAATTCTACAGATAATGTCCTATGTATTAGTATTTAACATACATAATTACACCCATGGCAGTTGCATTACTTTCAGTTTAGCTGCTTAATCATCCTTTGGGATGAGTTTATAAACACTGAATAGTTACATAACAATATGTAACAGAGATTAGTTCACATTTCTAAGGAAGGATCTCCACAATTTTTCACATTAATGTGCCATTTGGAAAACTTCTTCTAATAAGATGGACCATCAAAATATGATGCAATGTTGTATTTTCCAAAATTCCTTAAGACTGTTGCAGCTTTACTTAAAACAGTCACACCCAGGCAGCATCATAGCAATTTACATTGCAGAATATAAAATTTAGTATAATTATATGGTACATAGTCATAGTTTTTTATAAATTTTAGTCTGACGTGTTATGTTTCATGGATAACTTCTTTAAAAAACAAAGCAGAAAGGAGCCAGCAGACATCTGAAACCCACAGTCTCTATTTGTGACCAAGTTTACTTCATTCAGAGCAGTAATTTAACCCTTAATACTTGCATAAAAGGGATAAAAAAGTACAACTTAACTAATCATAAAGTGCTCCACATTTTATACGATTTCAAACCAACCCTATACAGTGTAGAATATATTTTTTGTTTAATCTTATGGTCTACTAACAGTCAAAGTGTCCTGACAACATAATCAGAAATTAATACTGAAGACATGCCCTAAGCTATAGGTAAATCATGTATTTTCCTTTATTTTCATAGTGCTAACACATACTGCATTTTTTCCTGTTAAGTGCTTGAATACCCACATTAAAAAAAATAATCAAACTGTTCATTATACTACAAAAGCAAGTAATATCCTCTTTGTCAATACTTAGGAAAAACATAAGAAAAAGAACATAGAAAAGATTAAGCTTAGGATAAAAGCAACTTTGCCACAGTGTTAAACCTTTTGCAATGCACACTTCACTACTCACATTATCTAAATAAAACTGGAAGCCTTGTACGCTGCCTGTGAGGTCAGTAACACTGAAGATACCAGAAATAGAAGCTGTGATTAGAAGTGACATGGAGCAAGATATCATCTGAAAGGTCTGACTAATCTTTTTTTCTTGACCAAGAGTATTTTAATTTCTCTCTCAAAACAGGGGCAACATTATGAAAGAAAATAGTTTTTTAAACATACACATGTGCAGGAAGGTAGCTATTTTTTAACAGACATATACACACAGAGTACTTACATAGCATACAAAATATGCTGGATTCTGGCCATTTTTCAGCTTATTTATACATTTATTATATATAAAATTCTTTTTAAGAGCTTGTAAAGATTAATCTGCACTTAAGAAAGCAAAGTAAAAGCTAATGGAATCTCAGAGAAACCAACAGCAAGTACATCTCCAAAGTAAACAGAATCCTCTGATATAATGGCTACATGTAGTGTTAAAACTTCCCAACCCTTCATCTAGCCAAATCTACACCTGGGTATTCACCTTTACTTCAAAGTCATCTACCACCTATTAGCTGAGCTGGAATCAGACGCTCAATCAAGCACATATCCCTGACAACCCACCATCCAATTCTGGAATATCATCTTCAGACAGAGGACGTACATTGAGATACTGCATGAAAAATAGACAGAATTTAAATGAGTTGGTGTATGAGTATAGGCACCTCTGTGTGTGCACATCTATAGGTGTACATCAGCAACCATGTGTACGCCTCCCCAGAAAACCAGCAAGTTCATAGCTTACCTCAGCAACTTTTGGAGGAACTCCATCACCGAGAACTTCCCTGATGAAGCACTGTTGAGTCATATAATACGAGAGTCCACAAGTTCTCTTGAAAGCATCTTTCAGTCGCTTTAGCTCTATGTCTGTAACTGTGTTCAGTGAGGAGAGAAAAAGAGATTTGGTCAGTAAAGGTGTTGTAGAAATGTCATAGCTTACGGACTCTCAAAATCCTCTATGCCTTATATTTATCTTCACAATAAAAACATTGGAAGAAATTAAATGCACAATTTCACCTAAATAGTGGGAAAATCTGACTACTAGAAAACGAGATCTAGTAATCTGATTCTTTCATAAAGGGAGATGTGAAGTAGACCTAAAGTTAAAACCAATGATTGCAACAGTTCACTGCCTAAGGTTTCTCTGCCTACAATAGCGTATTATTATTTGTTCTAAATTAAGCACCACTACTGTCACACAAAAGGCAAACAAGCTAGCTTTATGATCAGTTTTACACTGCATGTAAGCCAGAGAAATGATCTGTAACCAACAGTGGTGAATATTATTAAGAGCAGCTCCAGCAGCACACTTCAAGCAATTTCATCTAACAACCAGTCTACTTTTCTGAATTAAAAGGTAAAAATACTTATGCACCACTTATGTGCTCATAAGACAGTTCAGCAACTCATGAATTTAACAGGAATACTACAGTTAAACTTTGGACTAAATGTAATTCCTCATGGAAGATTTTCTTGCACAGTCAACATCTGCTTGCCAGCTAAAACCTGTTCAAACTTGTTCCCAATCTGTAAATGTTCAGTTTGATGACAGACATCCCGCTCATACATGAGCTTCCTGAAAAGCAGCCCCTGCTTCCAGATTGCACAAGCATAAAGCAACTTTCTAATAAAGTGTTGAACAAGTACCTCGCTGAACAAGTGACATGGATCATATGTAAGTTACCATGAAAAAAGAGCTATCTATCATTTAGAAGCCAAAAGAAATTATGCTGTACATGATAGCTGTTTTACTGTATTTATAGTAAGGCATTTTCCTTGCCCTGATATAACAAGCCAGACAGAAACAATACTGACATGGCCAAAAGCTTGTCAAGCGTCTTGTTAGCCAAAATAAAACAGAATATTTGAGAGCTTAATCCAACACTCTCTTCAAAGCTTCTACACTTCAATTCATTCATCAAAAGAAAAATCACTCCTTAAATCACATCGAAACATTCCTCCCTAATTCTAATCCTAGTCAACATTGAAACAGACCAGTGACTTCACTGAAAAATTGTGAGTAAACGCATTGGGTTATGTTTCTTTTCAAATTTTATTACAGATTCTGGGGACTTCTGAGCAGGAAAAACAAAACAATCAAAGGATCTAAGAAATAAACCTAAAATGTGACATCCCCCCACCACTGGTGGTGCTCTCAGTTAACATGTATGTGGCAAAAGACACACTCAAGTTATCTTCATAGAATGGTTTGCGTTGGAAAGGACCTTAAGATCATCTAGTTCCAACCCCCCTGCCAAGGGCAGGGACACCTCACACTAAACCATGTTGCCCAAGGCTCTGTTTAACCTGGCCTTGAACACTGCCAGGGTTGGAGTGTTCACAACTTCCTTGGACAACCCATTCCAGTGCCTCAGCACCCTCACTGTGAAGAACTTCTTCCTTCCATCTAACCTAAACTTCCCCTGTTTAAGTTTAAAGTCATTACCCCTTGTCCTACCACTACAGTCCCTAAGGAAGAGTCCCTCCCCAGCATCCTTATAGACCCCCTTCAGATATTGGAAGGCTGCTCTGAGGTCTCCACGCAGCCTTCTCTTCTCCAGGCTGAACAGCCCCAACTTTCTCAGCCTGTCTTCATCCAGGAGGTGCTCCAGCCCCTGATCATCCTCGTGGCCTCCTCTGGACTTGCTCCAACAGCTCCATGTCCTTTTTATGTTGAGGACACCAGAACTGGACACAAGACTCCAAGTGAGGTCTCACAAGAGCAGAGTAGAGGGGCAGGATCACCTCCTTTGACCTGCTGGTCACGCTGCTTTTTATGCGGCCCAGGATACGATTGGTTTCTGGGCTCAAGCACACACTGAAGCTGGCTCATGTCAAGCTTCTCATCAATCAACATCCCCAAGTCCCTCTCCTCAGGCTGCTCTGAATCTCTTCTCCACCCAACCTGTAGCTGTGCCTGGGATTGCCCCAAACCCCGGTGTAGGACCTTGCACTTGGCTTGGTTAAACTTCATGAGGTTCTCATCAGCCCACCTCACAAGCGTGTCCAGGTCCCTCTGGATCCCATCCCTTCCCTCCAGCGTATCAACCGAGCCACACAGCTTGGTGTTGTCAGCGAACTTGCTGAGGGTGCCTCAACCCCACTGTCCATGTCACTGACAAAGATGTTGAACAAGACAGATCCCAACACCGACCCCTGAGGGACACCACTCGTTACTGGTCTCCAACTGGACATTGAGCCATTGACCACAGCTCTTTGCGTGCAGCCATCCAGCCAGTTCTTCATCCACTGAGTGGTCCACCTATCAAATTGATGTCTCTCCAATTTAAAGACAAGGATGTCGTGCAAGACAGTTTCAAATGCTTTGCACAAGTCCAGGCAGATGATGTCAACTGCTCTGCCCCTGTCCATCAGTCCCGTAGCCCTATCATAGAAGGCAACCAAATTGGTCAGGCAGGATTTCCCCTTAGTGAAGCCATTCATCACATATTTTGTTTTAATAAAACAAGCATACTTTACATGGCAGAAAAATGTTGGTATAATATTATCACCTGGCTTATATGGTGTTTAAATTTCACTGTTTTGAATTAGTATCTCCGCATAGAGTCATTTTCTTTCTTTGTGTCTTTACATGTGATGCTTTAATGAATGCTCAGACAATGTTGGGCACCAGTTAAAGTTTCCTCTCAAATCTTCCCTAGCAAACTGGAACAGACTCTCAGATATGATATTTACAACCTGAAGCGCAGTTCTCCACACTCCCCAGCTCTCCTGAATTACAGACACAGGAAGCAAAATAAAGATTCTGGAAAGAAACCGACCCTCAGGCCACAGCCTTCCTTCCAAACATGTGCATGAAATGAGAAGCGCTTCCCATCAGAGACACTTCACCTCGGCTTCTCCTCATCTCTTCTGCACAATGTAACTACAGCAAGTTTTCAGCCAAAAGGGACAACTCCCCACCACATGTTTAATGGGTAAAAGCTTGGGATTGCTGAGGGGACATAAAAAGGGGAAGCAACCAGCTTCCTTATTTTGGCAAGGTAAAGCAAACAACCCAGATCCTGGACAGATTCTAGCAACAGTTCTTTGACGAAAATATTTTCATTCATTGTATTTTTTAATATGCATGCACACACATACACTTTTAATAAAACAGACCCTGCATTCTCCTTCTTTTCTCCCCTTTGTCAATTGCTTTAACTCCTCACCAGTTAATCCAATCCAGCTTGTGGTCATTTGGCAAAAAAAATTTATATCCAAGCAAAGTGTTAACTCACCAGATGTTTACAGCTTTACACACATTACAGTAGACTTTCAAGGAACATAATTATTGCTTATTGCTAAAATAAGGTTGAAACATACACAACATATACAGCCACTCAATACAGCATTGTGTCACTATTGATGTTTACAGGTTTAGTTTCTTGGCTGCAGAGGCAATTCAAGTAATTTTCACCAGGAATCATAAGAGAAATATTTTTTCCTGCCATTCATTTATAACCACTGATTTTGTGCCCCTTGATCTAATCCCTTAAAGTTTCTCCCCAGCATGGCAGCAAGATGGAGAGGTGCGAAGGAGGCTCCACTTGAACTCAGCTGCACACCAGTTCCACACAGCTCTGGTTTCCTTCCAGCTACTATCACTGCTGAGCCCACGTCCTGCAAAAGCTCTCCTCAATGGGAACACAAGTATAATCTTGCTGACTTACTCTTGTGCACTGTGTTCTTGTTAGAATTAAAAGAAATGCAGCAGCATGACCATAGTCATGTAAAACTTCTGATTACTGTTTAAATAGAAAATGTTACTTATCCAATAAACGTGAACTGACTATACTTAACAGGCCAGAGCATCAAGTGATTTTAGTAGTCATGTACTTTCATAATCATAAAATTTACTGGCCATTCCTTTATGAAATTTACCTGTATTAACAGAAATCAAAGTAATTTCTAAAATGACAACCTTAACTGCAGACCGTATTACTACTCCATCCTTAAGTGCACGAAGCAAGTTACACGTTTCTAGTAGTCACTGAAACGTAACCACCTCTCTGGTGACAGAACAGCACAGAGCAGTATTTCTTGTGCCAAACTGTGGTGCAACTAAGAGCAATGAATTAATTCAGCCTTGGTAGAGCTGCAGTTTTCCAGTTTCACAGGGCAGTGAAGGCCTCTACTCTAGGCAAATAGGTCTCACTGTACTGAGTAGATGACAAGCAGAGCAAGGAAACTTGGACCAACTACATCCTGGGAACACACAGCAGGCAGCAGCCATCGGTACTGCCTTCCACCTACGACTGCCAAGTGCGTACTTCAGGACAATGTTCAAGAATAGGAAAATTCCATACCTACATATCAACCACAGAAGGGACTGGGCTGCTGCTGAAGGTGAGAAGGTTGGGGAGACTTGTCAACCAAAACCTCAAAAAGAACTGTCCGTACATCATTTAATAGTAGATGATAAGCTGATACTACTAGTCCATGTTACATTTCAAAAGCAAGTTACCGGTGCTAGAGACCACTTAACATCACTGTTTGCTGGCAGAATCTACAAAACAGGTCATGGAATTACAGGAAAGGTAATTACTTCCATTCTTTCCCCAGGACATATTAAAATGATTGATGTTGGCCATTTAAAATCATCTGTAAAGCTTTGTAAAAATAAGTTCATTATACGTTTTAGATCCAGGCACATGAAAGTACTACTGAAATGAGCAGAGTATAAATCAAAGATATTATCAATGTTTAATATGAGTCTGGAAGATAAATAAAATATTTGAATACAGAATCCCAACACCAAAGTAGCAATTATTCAACATAGAGACAGAACATGATGGCTTGGTGAGAGGAAATAAAAATAAGTCTTAAATTACAAAAGTAACATTTCTAGAAGCAATACATCTATGACTATA